TATATATATATATATATATATATATATATACAGATTAATATTGTAGGGTCCCAGTGACTGTCTGTTGAACAATTGTCTACTCTAGTCTGTAGACTTCCCCGTAATGTGGCTATAACATTTTTTTATTTTAAAATGTTTACTTTGTCAACTTAATCTGCAACATACCATTAAGAATCCCTCAACCATCACAATATTACTGATCAGACTAAAAATATTGTGTTATGGAAGGCCAGTTTTGGTCCTTCATATCAGATGGAGCAAAATACAAATTGATTGATTGAAAAACATTTATTTCCACCTAACAGCAGTTTGTTCGACTTACATATGAAATTCCCATGAACACAATAAAACATGTAGGTGTAATGACAAAAACGAAACGTTCAGGTGAATATTTTTTGCAAAGTGCTGTACGTTTTCCATTTTCTTTCTTTTCTTTTTTATGATCAATCATACTTAGAGTGAATGCAATGAGGACCAACTACATGATGTACAGGCTTTCTCACCTGTCTAATTTATGTTCTTTAAAAAAAATCTACATGAACAACCCTGGACATTTAGGAGACAACACAGCTGTAAAGTGCGAAATGTTATTAGTGATTATTCATGTTGTGTTATGTAATTACCCTTTGGGATTAATAAAGCATTTTTGAATTTGTATGTTGAAGTTGCTTCCTGGTTTGACGTCCGCTCTGACGTCATGGCCATGGTCCCTTGTGGTGCCTGGTGGTGACCTCAGTTTGGTTCTGCGGAGATCCGAAAGTCCAGCCAAAAGGGAAAAGGCGAGCGACCAAACTTCTTTCGTATTTTTGTGGAGTTGATGTTCTATCTGGAAAGTCAATTTTTGGTGGAAATCTTTGCTGTAGACATTTTTGTTTTTATTTTTTTAACGAGAGATGCATTTGGACACTACTGGAGAAAAGCGGCATCTAGTGGCGTCTTTATGCAAGTTGAAACTTTATTCATTAAACGTTAACATTTCTACTTTCTACATTATATACAGCAATTTAATGTATTTTTGATTGTTTATATTATAAATTTGGGGGATGTGTGGAATTGATTTAAGTAGCAGCGCAAATTATGCCAGCCGCCAGTGGCGCTGCAGATCCTTCCACAACATTAACAGCTGGTAAACGCTCATGGGGACGGAGCGGAGCTCAAGATGGAGCGAGCAAGCGTGCTGCCAAACATCCGAACAGGTCCAGGTCCTGCCTGAGGGCGGAAAGAGGCAGAGACACCGAGGCGGGGAAAACCAGATCCGCGGACGGCCGAGAGGGGGAGCCCGAGAGGTTCGGCAGAGCAGCTGTCCAGCCAGTTGGTGCTGAGGCTGATCTCACGCCGAACAGGGCGGATGCTGCCAGAGTAGATTCACCAGCACCACCGGGTTGCCGCTCTGCCACAGGCACACCCCGCTTCAAACACCGCGCTGACCAACAAATCCTGCCCAACAAATCCTCTCCTCTGAGGACAAAGGAGGAAAGCGGGCAGCGGGAGACGAGAAGCGGCGCCGCCGGGGGCTGCGGAGCGGGCCTCGACTCGGGCTGGCGGAGAGAAGGATGCTTTCAGGCTGAGCCGATTCACTCTCATCCGCACAGGAGACTGAAAAGGAGAAGCGTGAAGATGCAGACCGAAACGGAGGGCGCTGCTGGGGTGGAGGCCGCGCAGGGAGAGCCGGATCCGGCTGCGGGGGAGACGGAGGAGGCGTCCGTGACACAGCAGGACCAGGCCCTGGAAGAGGAGATAGAGAGGCTTCTGGAGGAAAATGATGATCTCAAGGTTTATGCTTAATCACTGGATGATTCTTTGTTAACAGTTATAAAATATGAGAGACAAAAAGCAGAGTAAAATAGTATGTATTCTGGCGTTGTTATTGAAAGATGGGAAATCAATCATTTAGCCTGTTGATTATTCTTCGGAGGAGGAGGCTAAGCTCTACAGTCCATACGGAGGGGAAAACATGTTATTCATTAGCTTGTACTGATATTGATTCACCTGGATCAATAATGTTTTGTCTTTAGAATGAACTAATCAGATAGTCACAATCCAGGATTTAATATATTAAGTAGATGTTGGAAAAAAATCTTTAAGTGTGTTAAAGAAATTACAAACTGGGAGCTTAAATTATTTGGCTCGAAAACATTTTATTTTCACTACAGTGTTTTGTGTGTGCGTGTGGGTGTGTTCGTGCGTGGATGTGTGCGCGCGTGTGTGTTTTGTGGTGGAAAGCACCACGAAAACGTCATGCATAAGAAAATAAACTATAAACTATGAATTAAAATGGAAGCATATTGGTGCCAAATGTCTGGTGAGTAAAGAGCATATTGACATGATCCTGGTAGTCACAACAAATTCAGGGAAATCTTAAAAACTTTAAATAAAAATGCATATTAAATACATTCTACTAATAGTATTATTAATAGTACTAACAGTCAGGGATCAAAAAAAGAAGAAATCAAAGTATAGTGGCAAATAAAAGTTCATGAATGAAAAAGAAAGAGATCGTTTAAAAGGTTATTTAAAGTAAGCCTTGCAGTGAAACACTACAGCGAAGCATGCTCTTCTACTTTAATGACCCATCTGCTGATCTTTGGTGTGATTCTTGCCAGTGTGAGATCGAGGAGATGAGGGCCGAGATGGACGAGATGCGAGACACCTTCTATGAGGAAGACACATGCCAGCTGCAGGAAATGAGGCGTGAGTTAGAGCGGGCCAATAAAAACTGCCGGATCCTGCAGTATCGACTGCGCAAAGCCGAGAGGAAGCGGCTGCGCTACGCCCAGGCGGGAGAGATTGATGAAGAGCTGCTGAGGAGCCTGGAGCAGGACCTGAAGGTGGAAGCCGACGGTCCTTCCTCCTCTGACGCTGTCATGGCAAAGCATTTGACGGAGTTACTAGTCCTGCTGCTAATTCTGTTGCAGGTGGCGAAGGACGTGTCGGTGCGGCTGCACCACGAGCTGGAGAAGGTGGAGGAGAAACGGACGAAGACAGAGGAGGAGAATGAAAAACTGAGACAGAAGCTCATAGAGGTGGAGGTGACCAAACAGGCTCTACAGAATGAACTTGACAAAACCAAAGAGGTGAGGACATGGATGGCAGTAAAGACTAAATGCAGACTGAGCTTAACTCATGAAGAAAATTGAGCAACAAAAATCGATGTCTCCACATCTGAAAAGCCGGTATAGAGGCATACTTCTAAAGGACCTGCAGCTGAAATGCTTCAAAATGTGGTTTATGGCTTTTATGATTTTTTTTATTTGAAAACATTTATTTGTAAACTACTTTGAGTTGGCACTGTATCTCTTCATATGCTGTCGAAAAAAAGCATGAAAGCCTAAACTGTCCTTTGTCCTGTCTCTCTCTTAGTCTCAGAAGCGAAGGGGAAGCAAAGATGTCCAGAAGGCTGACAAGAAGCCAACACAGACTCCGACTGAGGTCAGAAGCTCTCACTAACAGCTGGAATTCTATTCATGTCAAAGTATCTCCATGTTTTGAACCAATCATTTTTCTACGATCAACTATGTCATTTATATGTAGACAAGAGTGCTCAAGCAATTGCAGACTTAGTGAAAGTTAAAAATCTTTTTGGCCCAATCTCTTGGCTGACGGGCTGCGGCTCAGAATCTTCACTTTAATCTTAAGTCTTTGAGTCTTTGCAGATTTTTGCAGAGACTGATTTTCTTTTTTCGTCTCTCAGGAGGAAAACGACGACCTGAAGTGCCAACTAGCTTTCATCAAAGAGGAAGCCGTGCTTATGAGGAAGAAGGCGGCCAAGATCGACAAGGAAAAGGACTGCCTGGAGCAAGAGCTGCAGAAGTATCGCTCCTTCTACGGAGAACTGGACAGTACCCATCCCAAAGGGGAGGCCGGGGGTCCGCCCACCACCCGCGAGTCAGAGCTGAAGCTGCGGCTTCGGTTGGTGGAGGAGGAGGCCAACATCCTGGGGAGGAAGATAGTAGAGTTGGAGGTAAGACCAGACAATGCAGTGAGAAGCTTTTTTGAGGGGAAATTTCTGGAATCTTTTCAAATTGGTCTCCGTCTTTCCAACCAGGTTGAGAACCGAGGTCTGAGGGCTGAGCTGGATGACCTCCGCGGTGACGGGGATGGTGCCGGGAGCTCTGGGCGCGGAGCGACGGGTGGGTCGGGCGTGGGACGAGGTCTGGGCGATGATCTGACCGAGCTCCGACAGCAGCTGCAGCTGGTGGAGGACGAGGCCGAGCTCCTGAGGAGAAACCTGGCTGATGCTGAGGAGCAGAACAAGAGGGTGACAGCAGAGTTGAACAAATGGCGCTTCAAGGCCGGGACCCACGAGGGAGGAGCCAGGCACGGTGGAGGGGGTTCAGGAAGTGCAACGCCCGATGGAGCCAAATCAGAAAATCTGCAAGAGGAGCTGAAAGCTGCAAGGCTGCAGATCAATGATCTCAGTGGCAAGGTCTGAAATTTTAATATCTATGTTTTCTGTACTTATAATAAGATAATAACCTTTAACATTTTACATTTATTAAGTCACATTACAACCACAAACTACAGAGTAGGGTAATGAGATGTTGTGTGATTGGCCAACATGCAAAGTTGAAGGAAACAAAACTAGAACATTTCTGAAGAAATTTAAACGGGGCCTGCCAAAGTGTCGGTTGAAACACGGACTTCTGATGCTAAAAATTAGCATCAGTGCTAAAGTAATAACTCAATAACATGTGGAGCGTCAGAAGCATGTTGAGTAACATGGACTTACGCCATTCACTGTATTAAAAATAGTGTATAAGCGAAAATTAGCCAAAATGCTAATGTTAGCCTAAATGCTGCCAGTGGCATGTGGGGCCTCACTAACATGTTGTCTTACATTGACTTCCTCCATTTCTTCTGCTCCTTTGAAACACTACTTAACAAGAATTGTGCAGGTGGTGAATTTGGCAGGAAAGTGAAAATGTGTTTTTCTTTTTGTTGTCATTGGTGGGA